GGAAAGAAATAAAAACAATAAAATAGTAATAAAGTATAAAAGGTGAAAAACACACACAGAAAAAGTACATAATAACCCGCCATGTAAACAACTCTCAGCATAACCACCTCGAACTATGCACATGGGCATCAGCTGAATGGCGCAACTACTATTGCGTGTTGGGTGGGAATTCGATTCCACGTGGGGGGCAATGGATACCTAGCAAACGAGCACAATCCCTTCACCGACACTATTATTGGGGCTAGCCCTATGCGGGGTTTTCTTCGGTTCGCTTGGATTTTCATCAGATATTCACCATGTTATCTTTAATACATTCTTGTTTGGTTTAGTGGAGCCATTTTTTTTTCAATCACCATGCCATACATAATTAAGTAGAATCACCGACTGAAATTGAGAGAATCGCTGCAAACCTTGTGGCAATTGGGTCTCCCTGATCTTGATGATTCCTGTGCGTCGTGGATTATGTGTATTACTTGGCGAGATTCCCAATACACATTATTTAACTAACTCATGTCTGAAATTTATAAACTAAAAATGAATTTCTCCTCACCCTCAAGCTGAAGCCTTGAGATATGGGTTTGTGAGGGACGTGTTTTTTCATCTAAAGCAACTATTTTTTTATGAAGCTAAGGTCACTTACCGTAACGAGGTTATATAGAATAGAAATATATAAAAAATATTGAACACCGACATTGCCATTTGATTTTTCCCTTTTTGTTAGATAAACTAGTGTTGTCCTCATGTTAAAAAATATTTATTTCATTATTTAATCTAGGCAAAAATAAGCCAATGTTGTCCTCATGTTAGTAAATAAGTACACCATTATATAGTCTTGAATAGATCTTCCAGATTGCACGAATCCAAGGAAGTGTTATATGCACCTTTCAGAGGGAGGGATGATTTCATGTCATGAATGATCACCCTTTTATTTTATCACTTCTAGAATTGTTAGTGCGGTGCCTTCGTTGTTGTTGTTTTTTTCACCGGAAAGTTTTCTTTGTTCTTCGCAGGTGCTGGATCATGAAGATTGCAATATCCCCAAAACTTTAGGATTAATCTGCTTATATTTCTGAACTCAAAAAAATTTATGTTTCATTTTTTCCATGCTTCTTCACAAGTTCCAAAAGGAGATAACATGTTATGTATACCACTTAATCCATCCTGTTGTTTCTTCTTCGTTCTTTGGAAAAAAAGAAGTGTCACCAGGAATGTCTGCCTTTTAACATCTGCAGTAACACCTGGATGGCCGGTGGTGGGTGCGGCGAGGTGTTCGTGTGGGCTCTTCGATTGTTTCACTCTCTTCTTCTCCTTTCTTCCTTGGGACAGCGGTAGCCGTGGCTCCGCTCGTGGTTAGCAACAACGGCAGCAGCGCCGCTGCCGGACACCACCGTGATAACCAACGCTGCTCCGCGCACAACCCGGGCTCCCCTCCCGCTGGATGGACTTACCCTAGGTATGTAGTAATACTCTCACATTTGTTTTTCATTTGAACTAGTCAGCCTTTGCAAACCGCCCAGACCAGCCTTGTTTGCTTCTTGCTGCTGAATAGTTCTTGTCTCTGAAGTCTGAACTGAACAGAATTGGTAGCAGATCGAGATTTATTGTCATGCCTGATGTGCTGGCATCCCAACATTTATGTATGCGTACAAGTTCACAGGATAATTAGGCGAGTGCTAGGAATTACGTTTTCAGTGCTCGTTTCCCTGGGGAATCCTAATTCGTGCAAGTTGACTAACCCTATTAGAATGTGCAGTTGTGTTGCCATGTATGTAACCCATTGTTCCTCTAATCCTCTTGCCACAGTCAGCATGATCGATGATGCTTCGATATATACCCAGGGCCGTCTCCAGAAATTTGGGGGCCCGGGACGAGAATAAAAGTAGGGCCCTGAATTTTTATAAATCATATACCTAAAGAACTAATGTAAGTAAAGCATACTCTCATTTAATTATGTAACTTCAAATATGTGTTATTTGATACAATATTTAGAAAATATACCAAATGCTAATTGTAAAATAGTAAAGATGGTACTGAAGCAATAGACTGACCTAATTTGTACTAAAAGAAGTATAATCTTCGATCATATCTTCATAATTAATCTTCTCCTTTTTGCGGTCAGATTCTTTGAGGACATTTATCAAAAGTATCCTTTTTGGATCGAGCATCTGCTTATAGTTTTGTTTTCTTCCTATGCTTTTCAGCACCAGAATCATTCTATGCATGATTCTTTCTGTTTTATAAAATAGACAAAAATAATATGAATCATTTTGAATTCTGTGTAATATTTCACCTTGCATAAAACATACTTCACCTTGATGTAACATTGTGAAAAATTGTTTAACAAAAACGAGTCTACACTAGCAAAATAAAATAGGGCTTCTTCTAAAAGGATTTACAACGGCAGGCGCCGTAGCGGCTGTAATACCTAATACGGCGCCGTGGAGTGTAGCCGGCCGGCGGCCGTGTACGCACGTATCCAGTGGCGGAGCCAGAACTTTTGTGGAGCCTGGGCAAGTTTAGTCAAAGTGTATAATCTAAAAATAAAAAATGGGTATTCAGATACACAACATATAATATAGCACCAAGCTTCTGAACCAGAAATCCGCATTTATAATAAATTGAAAACATAAAAATAATAATCACACAAAATTTAATTTTAAAGTGAACTTATATATATATATATATCAATATCCATTTCATACACCTAATTAAGTTCAGACTTAATACCAAAAGATATATAACCAGTCTTGAATTGAGGCAAACTTGCCATGTTGCAAACAAAATGAAAGCTATCCATACCAGATGTCATTGTGTAATTTCTTCCAACAGGGTCAAAAGCATCTCTCACATGTTCATTGTTGCCAAAAGAAAGACATATAAGTAGACTGCCTAATGAAAAACGAAGGAAGCCGAAGCCGAAGCCGAAGCCGAATGAGAGGAAGGAGAATAGACTGCCTGGGCGGCTGGGTGCCTGGCGTGATGCCGTCCGCTCGCCGCCGGCCCTGCGTCTAGCCGTGCAGGGTTAGGTCTGTGACCCAGCCCGTGCGCGGCTGCGCTAGCCGCCCGTGAGATACGGATAGACAAGTAGTCAGGGAGTTCGAGCGATCGATGCACCTCGTGAAACAGAAGTTGTTTCGGCCAGAGAAGCTGGGCTGCAGACTGGTCTTGGGCCGTGAACTGCATGAACCTGTGAAAAACGAAGGCCCAAAATTTCTTTTGCCCGGGTAAAACAAGCTGTCGTACGTGATTAGCCCTTTATTAATTCGCTCGATCGCTGCTGTCGAGCACCAGCGAGCCCGGGCAAGTGCCCAGGGTCGCCGGGCGGTGCCTCCGCCACTGAAGTATCCTACTCCTGCCGCCCTCGCCTGCCCGCTGCTGTCGCCCAGCCGCCCCTTGTACTGCTAGAGACCTCTCCTCGATCTAGGGATCGCTAAACCGGGGATAAAACTGGAACATGTGCGTGCGATGCGATCGGGAGTTACGGCAAACCAACAGGCAGGCTGCGAGGCTGCGTGCGTGCATGTATTTGGTTGCTAGAATGGGCTGCCTGGGTGTTGGTTTACTGGGCCCTTTTCTCATATATACGCCATGTGCGGTCGGCCAATTTGGCCTCCCTTGTCAACGGGCCTGTATATACCTTGCGCAGAGCTTTGTATTTGATTTGAAGATTTGGTTCAGCATGGTCCTCATGACGTGTAGATAGCCATGGTAATCTTGTTGCATCGCTTTCGTCTTGTTTATCTCTCTAAATATTTGGAATAGGAATTGCAAGTTTCTAGTACCTGGGAATACACATGACCTGATCAATTGCCTGTCCACAGGATCCTCTTGTGATTGTGAGCCTCCAACATTACAAGTTTCCGACCACCCGTTGAGGTGTCCACTGAAGATGACTAGTGGCACCTACGCAATCGAAAATTAGTGCAGAACGAAAATCGCAGCAATGACGGGATAAGGTAATTTGTAAGTCCTAATTTTTCAACCATTTCATTGCAAATCAGATCCAATATGATACATGGAAATTCAAAACGGAGCTCAGGCACATATGCTCCCGCTTGAAGAATAAAATTGTAAAGAAACAGTGCAAGACCTGAATTGACTATTTCCCTCAAATGTGTAGTATTGGTTCACTATGGTGATATGATCTTCATGGCTTCTATGCCATTCAGTGTTTTTCAGATGTGACAAAGGGCTTAGGGGATACCTGCAGATTCTGCAAACTCCCAAGTAACATGCTTACCACCTTTGTCATTGATGGTTCCACTGAATATTCTGCAGTATTTCTGGTTAGTTGTGTAAAAAACTTCAAATCCTTCTCATTTTTTTAGCATGGCAGAATAAGCACTTCTTCGTGTACAAGAAGGACCACAATGATGTGGGCAACTTCATGTCAAGTGGTGGTATGGATGGACTTCAGTCTTTTTGTAATAATCAGGTAAATCACACACCCCCCTCTCTGTTATTACTATCTTAGTTATTCATTTGGTTTTGATGTCTCAGTTGCTTGAGCTGGCCAACTTCAATGTGCTTTTGAGCCAGTTAGCCAACAGTATAGACACATTCCGCCAAAATATGCAATTTATTATCTCTGTATCCAGGTGGATTTAGGCAGAATCTTGAATAAGGCCCATACTTCTACTCCAGGACATGCACGAGACAAGAAGTTTCAGAACATTCATCTACCTTTTCTTTTAGATTAGAACATTCACATGCGGTTCTTGTATGTGGAATATTCTTGTCAACGAAATACATTGACGGAATCAGATGAGGAGATCTGGTTAGTCACATAAATGGTAAACTTCTCTGTTTTCTTCTTAATGAAAAGGCAGCGGTTCTGCTGTTTGCTCGGAAAAAGAAAACATAAATGGTAATCTGAAATGGTTGACAAACTCAGAAACTAAAGATGGTTTTCCTAGAAGGCCGGAACTCCTGTTTTGGTTGAAATACAAGGGAAGGGGGGAAGGCCTAATCATTTGACATTTGTACAAATCGCTTCCATTCTACTTCCAGCTGAGACTTCTGAGGGCCATTTTCAGGTTTTTCACGAGCTCAACTGCGGACAAACCCCCCTCTTCGATCTGGAGAAAAGTGAACATGTCAATCTTCTGATGATATATTCATTAGAATTATACTAACAAATCACAGTTTATTCTCTCACAAGTTGTTACCACACTTGCACAATGTATATATGACCAGGGCAGAGGGGCCTTGCCTTTGCCGTGATGGTGATGTTGAGGCAGGAGTCCGTAAACGGTATGACGTTGGTGTTTATGATAGACAGGCCCTGGTTTTCGAGCTCGGACAGGATCATCACCAGCACCCCTCTCCTCTTCTTGCAGCAGATATTCAGGAGTGCCGTGTTCCCTCGGATGCTGGCCTCAATGTCCGGGCTCGAGTACCCTGACCCGGAGCGGCTCCCGCTGGGGCCTGCTGCATCGTTGTTGGGAGCGGATATGCAGCATTTGCTATCGAACACCATGGACTCTGATGACCTCCGTGAGCCTTGCTCCAGGGCCTTCACCTTCTCCTCCAGGTTCTTCACGTAGTCGATGGTACTCCCCAGCAGAGAGAGCTTGTCAGTCTGAATAATATGGCAATGTCCAACTATTTAAGCTGCAGCCTGCAGGCACCTGGTGATCACGTAAATGCAGCCAAGTTGTCTTGTCACGCACCTTCTTGAGGCCGGGGACGATGGTGGCCAGCGACACGAACTGCTGCTGCAGCTTCTCCCGCCGCTTGCGCTCGGCGATGACGTGCTCTTGCGGTGCCCTGCCCCGCCTCTCAGGCGCCTGCAGCTGCTGCATCGTCCCTTGGACTCTGTCTCGCTGCCAGCCGGAAAAGTTCAGGGTGCTAGCCTGGCCAGCTCCGAAGGAGAGGAAGTTGGATGATGGCGGCGGAGACGGTTGCCCCAGCTCGTTCTTCACCATTGCCGATCCGAATGGCAAGTTCGGCAGTGACGATGAGCCTGCAAAGCTCGGGAAATTGGAGCTACAAGATGGATTGAATGCCGGGGTTGCCATCGGTGGCGTGTAGCACTGCTCTTCATGGCCAGGTAGCGGTGGCTCTGCGAACTGCTGCTCCTGAATTGCAAGGTGGCTCTGGACCCCCTTCTTGCTGGTACATGTAAGCTAGTTCCTCCTGTTCCTGGCATGGGCCATTGCAATAAGATCACAAGTTTATCCATAGCTACATTTAACTCGCAGCATCTTATCCACAAAAAGAAAAATTAACTTGTCGCATCTGAACTTGTAGATGTTACAAGTGATTACGATTTACGACCAAATTAATGTGCTTACCGTTTGCGTAAGCCATTGGTTTGGTTGCTCCATCATATCACTGTGTACACAGGAAAAGCTTGATGATTAAAGCCCTGTTCGGAGTCTCTCCACTCCGCCGCTCCACTCCGGGAGCAGGGTGGAGCTGTAGTTAAACAGCACGGAGCTGCAGTCCCTCCACTTCGCAGCTCCTCGTATTTTTAGGAGTGGTGGGTTGCCGAACACTGCCTAAGACACATACATGCACAGAGGAACACCAATCTAGACAAGTAGAATTTCTGGTGAACACATACCTGAAACCTCTGTCCTTTGCGTTTCTTGTGTTCTCTTCTTTCTTGACTTCCTTTCTGTCCTGCTTACAGAGGCATGCACTTGTAAGTTGTAACGCAAACAGTATGTACTGGCAGGTTTGGTTTCGCAGTCCGGACACACCGTGCGAGTTTTCAGATTGTGTTTCTCAACACCTTTTCTCTCCGGTGCTTGGCCTGAGTGCCTGACATCGCAGCCCCGATCTCTGAAGATCTCCTGCATGCTATCTTTTAATACACCCGAGAGATCCGTGATCTGAATCTGGTTTACAAAGAAACTCTGCCGCGCACCTCCTCAACTCAACCTGTCTGAAGGTTCAGTAGGTTTGATGAAAGTGACACTTGGATATATAGAAAGCTAGTGTGCACGCATGCATGGTTGCCGGACGAGGTCTCGCAAGTGTGACGGTTGCGAGTTGTTGGAGTGTCGAATGCAACACTTTGTGAAGGATGAGTACACTCTAGTGTACATTTTCCGGATAAGTTTGGTGTTGGAGAGTAAGTACAGTAGTTATGAACTCCACTAGTGTGCATATACCAATACCATACTATCATTTTGTCGATTGTTTAGGAGACCCATGCGATTATGGCGCTGCATTCTTTATGCTGAGCCTGCAAGCTTTAGGTTAATTACACAAGCAAATCCCAGGAAAGCGGCTTCAAATCAAAGTGCAAATACAAGACAACTGGCTGGAAAGTACTACAAGAAGGGGACAAATGGCTTATACATTTGTTTTGCTTCAATCACATGAACGAGGTTAGGGCTTTAAGCTACTAGATTAGATACTCATCATGTTGTCGCATTGTTCTAGGTGCATGTGCAACTTGGAATATTTGGTGGCACCTTTCGGCAGCCACGAGCAACTTTGCTGCATATAGGATTGGTATGCAAAATTTTGCCTAGATTTAGTTGCTTCTTGCCGTTATAAATTTACTGTTAGTTAGTTATTAGGCCATGTCGTTTTGAGAGAAATACTCAACAATACTCCCTAAATTTTTTGAGAGATACACTACATTTATGGGCTAATTAACATGACCAACTTGATCAACAATACTCCCTAAAAAACAATACAACCTAAAACTCTGCACTACATCATTTTTCATGATCTTTTTAGCATGTCTAGTGCACCACCGGGGATTCCCACTTTCCCAGCATCCACAAATTACTCCACTGGACATCTCGGATCAGTTACCCACACTACAACCACATGCAAATGCTATGATCAAGTACATTTTCAGCTTAATTAGACGAAATTAGTAAACTATGAGGAGTTTGCATGCATCAACTTGTGCTACTAACTAAACACCTACATCTAGCAGAACCATCTTGTTGGCACGTTGCATCCGGATCGCATCTGAATATTTTGTTTGCAAAATGTACAGCTAATCCAAAAGGCACCAATGGAAGTAAACAATTTTTAAAGTTGTCACTTGTCAGGGTATCATAAGTTAGTCTTGGAAAGGATACTGTTATCATGGATGTATAAAAGTAAGACCTGTGAGTTTACAATTAGTTTTACTAGCAGGGGATACTCACTGGCGACATCAAGAGATTTGTGTCTGGAACTAGTTTCCAAAGAAAACTCTGCTGGGTAACTCGACAAGAGCTGTCTGAAGATTGAGTAGGTTCGATGACAGTGGCACTTGGATAGAGAGTGTGCATTGCATGCATGGTTGCCTGACCAAGTCTGTTTCGCTGAGAAGCACTTACGACGGCTGCAGGTTGCAACCAAGTTGAGCAGACTGCGAGACTTTGTGAAGGGTGATCCAGAAATTTTGAATGACGACTGAACATAATGTGCTATTTTCTCAACCAGTGGCATATCTCAAGTAATGATCTTTTGAGATAACAATTCCCAGCGTTAGGTGCTGGGTTTGTAGGGGGAGGACCTGGAGGGGAGGGAGATGAAAGGAGACGTCCTGGGCGGCGACGCAAGGCCGCCAGACGCGCTACCGCCGGGCGCGCAGCCGACCGGCGCACTTCGGCCGCCGGGCACACAGCTGACCGGCGCGCTTCGGCCGCCAGTCGCGCGGCAGACTCCATCACCTCCGCCGGTGATCTCAGAGGATATCACCGGGGATGACGAGATCCGGGTCATGGCGGATCAGTGGGTGGTTTGTTTCTCCGATCCGATCCGCGGATGGATCGAGGGACGGCTACAGCATTCTCCGTCATCGCGCTGGACGTCACTTCGTGATATGGATAACGACATCCTTGCCGGCGACTACTTGGCGGCGGACGTTCAGATCGAGGTAGGGATGCGTTTTATTTTAGATGACTTCGATGTCCATGTGTTGTCATGTTTGCAGGAGGTTCACAGAGAGGAGATCGAAGTGATCGATTTGACGACGACGCATGAGGCGATGCGGGAGGCGCCCGCGGCCATTGCAGTGAGCCGGCCTTCTTCGTCTATGAGGCATGTCGGGGGGCGGTTTTGGGTTCTTGCGGACTCGGAAGATGAGGAGGACGACGACGGTGATCCTGATGGCAGATCACCGGGGAAATACTCACTGACGCCGTCCGACGTGGTCGTGGAGGCCTTCAGCCCTGGTCACTCGCAGGATGAGGTGGCCGCGCTGGCGCCGGGCGATGCTCCGGGGCGGATCGGGCTGTGTTCTGAGGAAAGAGTGGAGGTTGTTCGCCGGACCATCCACCGGAGGACGGCGGCGACGGCGATCCGGCCTTGGAAAGGGCCTATACCTAAGGTATGCATCAAACCCATCACCTTGTCAGATTTTTTCCCGCAAGACGCTTGGACTCGGGTTGTTCGTAAGAAGAAGAAGAAGAGAGGGAGACCGGAGCCAGTACCGCCGGTGCCGGAGATCAGAGCGGCGACTGAGATCCGAGCGGCTAGGGCGGCTCGTTTAAATTTTCTCTTGGGCCGCGAAGGGGCTGTCGAGGAGTGGGCCGGCTACAAGCCTGTGCATGGGTATGAGGCCCAGCATGGGGGTGTTGACGAAGGGCTTGTGGACAGGCGCCGACTGGGTATGTGGCCCAGGAGAGCCTGGATGCGCCTCCCCTGCTTATCGAGCCATGCATGCTAGAAGATCGTCGTGTTCGATCTATCCTTCCGCCGCCTAGGGTTGACAAGCGCTCCGTTCTGTCGGGCTTTCCTCGATGTGGTCCTGGCCGCGCAACCCGTATCCCTCCCCTCGCCATGGCTGGGCGGGGGAGTGCCCCTTCTGCTGATCCAAAGAACCTTGGGGTGGCCGGAGCGACGCCGGCTGGACGAGGCGGTGGTGCGCTAGGGCAGAGGCCGATCCTGTCGGCAGGGCGCGGCCCGCCACCTGGAGCCCGACCAGCGGCTGCTGCAGGGAGTGGCGTCCCACCCTCCCCAAAACCAGCGCTCGCGACCGGACCTCCTACGGCTGCGGGTCATGGCACGGCTGGAGTTCGGCCGCCGCCGTCGGCTTCGACGGGACCTATGGCGGTGGGCCGCGGCACTGCTCCGCTGAGGCCACCGACAACTGCGACAGTGGGGCGTGGAGCCGCTCCGCCGAGGCCGCCGGTGCATGTGTCCAATGGTCCTCGGCTGGCTCTCCAAGCCAATTCCCCGCGGCCGGTCGTCCCGGCTACTTCTGCCGGCACGCATCATCGTCCTGCGCCGCCACCTCACTATGTTGCGAGGCCGACGCAGAAGCGCTTGGGCCCAGCGCAGACGAGATAGAACGTGGTGGCTGGAGAAGCTTATGATCCGCCCCGAGGACAGTGGGGGATGACGGCCATGATGCGTATGGGGATGGTCGACACCGTGGATCGTCATCGACGGGAGGCGGTCGTGCGTATGCTTGGCAGAGCGATGGTTCTGCTGAGAGGCCGTTTCTAGGCCCTCCGGGCGGTTTTGTTGAGGGAGCTTCTGGACCGGACTACCGGCAGAGAGGGGGTTACCGTGGTCACCGTGGTGGTCGTGGCGGGGGTCGTGGTCGTCATCGCAGACAGCCTCCGCCACCGGCCATTGTGGATCATCAGGAGGCTGAGGTGGCGGCCGATCCCGTTTAGACGAATGCACTGCCTAGCCAGGCGATGGAGGTAGTGACGAATTTGGCTAACGCGGAAATTCCTGGGAATGGGGTTACAACTGACGCAGGCGACCGGGTAGAGTCTGAGAGGGCGTCCAAGTGGGCGCGTAAGAAGGAGAAGATGCTATGCTATAGATGTGGTGACAAGGGTCACTTCATTGCTGAGTGTGTGGCGGAGTTGTGCGACACGTGTGGTAAACCAGCACACGCCATGGGGGATTGCCCGCTTCTGCGTGATCAGGCTCCGGCTCTCACGATGTATGGAGTATATTGTGCTGAGCTTATGTTTTTTGAGTCCCCGGCGGCGAGAGAGATTCCGGTAGAGTCACAGAGCTTGACTACTGGAATTGTGAAAGCTACCCAGGGAGTGGGGTCTGAGGCTCAGATTGTGCAGAGACTCCAGGAACTGGCCCCAGG